AGGAGGAGGAGGAGGAGAAAGAAGAAATTGACAAACAATACTGGAAAAATTTTTATTAGTAATTTCAAATGTGTCTTTCAAAATAAGAGCTCATCTTCTAATTATGTCTCACATCCTAAATGAAGTATTTGATTATTCCAGTTCAAAGATACTGCTCCTTTCAACTCCTAAGCATTTATTGCTTCCATGCAATCACACTTCCTTATAACAGTTTTTCTCTTACTTTTTTTTATTGTGGTTAAATACACAATACATATAATGTAAAATTACCATCTTAACCACTTTTAAGTCATCAGTTTAATGGTAATCAGTACATTCATATTATTGTGCAACCATTTACCAACCGTCCACCTCCATAAATCTTTTCATCTTGCAAAACGCTATACTCATGAAATAACTTTCCACTCCATATACTTTTTACAAGATACAAAGCATTTCCTTTTAGTCTTATCACGCAAGGACATTCATTGTTAAGCCCCCTGTAGGTAGCCCACAAATATTAGTTTTATAAGGTACACATGAGGTATTTACTGTCAGGCATTTTTCTAAGTGCTTTGTAAATATTAATTTACATAATTATTCATCTTTGTATGTGCTTTGCACGTGAGAGACCTAAAATATTTGTGGAATGAATCTCGGTACCTCTTAAACATTTCCCATTAACTTTGGTTATAATTCTAGTTGGAAAGTTAACCTTTGGGTATTTTGACACTAGGTCGCAAGTTTAAAGAGATTCTTTTATTTTAGCCACATTAAGCCAGGGTGCTAATAAGGGAAGCTATGAGGGATTTATTCCTCAAAGATAGAGAATTAGGAAGTGACTCAGGGGAGTTAAGGTCTTTCTCTGGGCACCCGCGGTCAACTCCAGAAGACTCAGGAAAAGGAAGACCCCAGCAGACGACCCGGGAYTTGTCTCTCAGTGGAGCCGGCGGAACTGGGCCTGGCGGGCCTGGGCGGGGCGAAACGGCCCGGGGGCGGGGCCTGCAGGGGGCGGGGCCTCGGCCGGGGCTGGGCGCGCGACAGCACCGGGCGGCGATGGCGGCGGACGGGGACTGGCAGGATTTCTATGAGTTCCAGGAGCCGGCCCGGAGCCTCCTGGACCAGGAGAACTGTAACGCGAGCCCCGAGGCCGGGGCAGGGGCGGGCGCGGGCGGCGAAGGCTTCCCGGCGTTGGCCTGCAGCTTGGAGGAGAAGCTGAGCCTGTGTTTCCGCCCCTCGGGTCTCGGCGCCGAGCCCCCGCGGGCGGCCGTGCGGCCCATCACCGAGCGCAGCCTCCTGCAGGGGGACGAGTGAGTGCGGGCCCCGGCCGGGAGCGAGCGGGAGCCTCCCCTGCCACTCACCCTACCCGGGACCTCGGCCCGCAGCCCGGCGGGACTCCGGCCGCAGGCTGCTCCCCGCGCCCTCCTTCCGCCTCCACAGACGCGGCGGCCCGCCCCGCTCCCTCCTCCTGCGGGGGGGGCGTTGCTCGGCTCCCTGGGCGATTTAAATCCCAGCTCCCCCTCTGTCACTGCCCCTAAGAGTGCTCCTTCCTCAAGACCAAGCCCTTGTTTGGTTTTGGAGGGGATCACCTGTACCGAGCTTGTAGTTGGAGACCGTACCTCGTACCTGAAAGGCACGTGGGAGCCTTTCATTCATTCAGTTGGATTTATTAAGCGCTAGTTAAGTGCCCGACGCTGCTTAGCACTTGGAATACCCAAATGAGTGGATATTGTCCCTCTCAAGTAGGGCACAACATAGGATGGGACGTAGATTTATAAATGTATTTGTGTGTGTGTGTGTGTGTGTGTGTGTGTGTGTGTGTGTGAGAGAGAGAGAGAGAGAGAGAGAGAGAGAGAGAGAGAGAGAGAGAGAGAGATATAAGTGTTCTAATAGATACTTGTACCAAATATGAGATTTAAAAGGCTGTGCCTGGGGGAAAGTCTTCATAGAGAAAGCAACCTGTGAATTGAATCCTAATGGATGAGTGGGAGTTTGCCTGGCACGTGAAGAAAGGTCTAGCATTTTAGATCAAAGGTATAGCATGCGCAAAGGTACCAACGTGCGTAGCATTTTATGCCACGGGAATCTCTTGGGCCCACCTGAGAGCTCTGGTGGAGCACAAGCTGCCATTGAGGCAGAAAGAAACKCTCTCATTATTAATAGCAAGGATCTCAGTGGTGTGGAGACCAGTGCATAAACAAGTAATAATTACAGAATCACCCGAAGTGATTTAATTAATTCATAGGGATTTATGAGAGCTGGGGGAGGGAAAAGGTAGATATATACACAGGAAAGCATGCAGGCAGTAGCAGAAGATGCCATTTTCGAAAGTTGTTTCTCAAAAAGAAGATAGTTGCATTTATATGTATATTTATGTGCTCTGAATCACTGAGACTAGGATACATTCTGGGTTTTAAAATTATATTTATAAGAGTAATTTAAAGTAGGTGAGGGGCTTATACAAAGATAATTAAGGATCCCTGTTTTTGCTTCACCTGGACTTCCTCAAAGTAGTTTATTTTGGCCTTTACTTTAGACAGGTTATACCATTTAAACTATTTTGTTGTTGTTGTTTTTCTTCTTTCTTTCTTTCTTTCTTTTTTTTTTTTTTGGTACTGGGGAATGGATCCAGGGGCATTTAACCAGTTAGCCACATCTCCAGCACTTTTTTGTTTTTTATTTAGAGATAGAGTCTCACTGAGTTACTTAGGGCCTTGCTAAGTTGCTGAGGCTGAATTTGAACTCTTGATCCTTGATCCTCCTGTCTCAGTCACYGGAGCCACTGGGATTGAGCTGCTGGGATTACAGTTTACTATACAACGCTGGCTATTTAGTTACTCTTGATAATGGTTTGAGTAGGTGATATGTTGGTAGTAATCTAGCTGATTCACATTTCTTGATTTGGGAATGCATAAGAAATTTCTCTCAGGAGCTTGGACTGGTTACCATTGTCATTGTCCCCTGGCTATTGTGTAAATTTGCTCACCATTGTTTGACAGAGTCCTTTCTAGCTCCTTTCCTTAGCAACAGTTGAATTTTTTTTTTTTTTTTTTTACTCAGATATAACCTTGCCTTAGGGACCTTTATTTAACTTTTTGGAGCCCAATTTTCTTTTGGTAAATATGGATTGTACTCCCAGGATTTTCCTTTAGAAGGAAAATCTTGGGAGTACTCACTGTTGCAGGACTCACTGTTGGCAGGACTTTGACCTCCTTCAAAAAGTGCTATCTTGCTAGTTGTTTATGACTGCTAGTAATATTTTATGATAAGGATGAAGGAAGTTCATGTCTAGAGAGAGAATTCTAGAAATCTTTCACTGAAGCTGGCCCTATGCCCTTCTCAACTACAATTGTTCTGATATTGGTGGAGGTAGAGGACTCTGCACTGTCCTTCACTTTCTTGGAAAAGCAAACTCACCCACAGTCATTCCTGGGTGACGTATTCCACTCTACTTGTTCTTTTCTTATATCCTCATTTAAGAAGGAGGCAACAAAGAAAATATCTCCTRCCCCCTGGAAAATTCTGGACTGTCTTCTCTTACTAATGTCTTACTGTAACCCCTGATCAGAGTTAGGTATATAGTCAGGTATGCAGTATTTGAAAATTGTTACCCAGAAAAGCATGGGCTAGAAACCCATAAGTAGCAGTCCAGAGGCATTACCTAATTCTAACTGATTYACATTAGAGGAGGCTGGATCCCAACAGAGAGGAGAATTGGAAACAAACCATGCATTTGCGAGATTTTCTGGGTAAACCACCTTTGGTTTTCTAGAGCTTTTGGGGTTCACATTTTCATAAAGGCTAATGTGTATCTTGAAGCCAAACAAGGCAGCATGGTCCTATCACCTTCTGCTTTTTAGCACCAAACCCCTATTCATTACATCAAGTTTGTTGCTTCTCCATTTTTAAACTTGTATTCTTATGTTTATGTACTTACTAAGATTGTTTATGTACCCTAGTTGCATACACACTTGGTAAAAAGGCATGCACAATTATTTAATGACTTACAATTAGATAACCTGTAATTCATTGTAGGATTATTTTTTATTTGATATCTTTGTGCATTCTTACAACCAGTAAGTGGTTCAAATTTAACTTTCTTACCCTATTTAAATTTCATCTCATTTGTATATCAGAACTCTTTTCATAAGACATCATGTTTACTGTGTTGATTATTTCTTTTTTACTGAAACCTGAATTTTGGTCATGAAATTGGAGTTTGCTTTTCTGGTGTTGCTTGGGACTTTCCCCAGTTCAACTCATTTGAATTAATGCTTAGAGTAATGGAGCTGGAGGAAATAGCTTGTTCAAGCCTCATTTTATAGTGAGGCAACTGTTACCCAAAGAGGTTAAGGGACAGGGCTAAAGACYAATTGGGCAAAAAAAGGAGATGAGAATAGGTTTCTTAAAGCCTAGGCAAGTGCTCTTTGCATCTTACCTCATCACCTCTGCAAAACTCTGTTTGCTTATAAGGTAGGATAACTGCATTGTATATAACCTGTGTACATTTTATAGGAACGTCCCCTCTTTCTCCTTTCATTTCATCAGTCTTTATTCTTAGCCARTTATTACAAATTAGATATTATATGCTGGTTCACATTGAGACTGAATTCTCCAGAATCTAGGAAAATAAGATTTTGGTTAGAGATAGATTATTTACTTTATGAAATGTTTAGAAGTTGCAGAAGAAAAATAATTGTAGTGCACAGTCTATTTACTCTCTGTGTGGCCTTGGAAATATTACTTAACCTCTCCGTGTTTCAGTCTCATCTGTAGAATCGGTATGATAATGGTTTCTACTTCTAAAGTTGTTTTTGAGTATTAAATGAGTTAATAATATGTAAACTGCTGTGAACTGTGCCTGGCACATAGTATAATGGAAGTATTAGTGACTTAGAGTTTTTTATACCACTTCCCTTTCCCTCAGGACTTTTTGTCAGCTTGCATATATCATTTTCATGCAGTTTTATTTAGGAGACTCTACATAGTAGGTGTTTCTCTGAGAAAAAAATTGCTATTTGGTGTCCTTCTTTCATTGTAGTATTGAACATTTATTGAACAAAAGACATATAAGGTGGTAACTTTCATTGAATGCAGTTTTCTTCTTTTCAAGGATTTGGAATGCCCTGACAGATAATTATGGAAATGTGATGCCTGTGGACTGGAAGTCATCTCACACTAGGACCTTGCACTTGCTTACTCTAAACCTCTCAGAGAAAGGGGTAAGTTAGGATTTCTGCATAACTGCTGCTGAGAGCAGAACTAAACAGTATCATTTCGGTTGAGCACAAATATTGAGTTGCTTCCTCTGTGTGTGTGTGTGTGTGTGTGTGTGTGTGTGTGTGTGTTGTGGGGGATTGGTGCTGGGCAGGTGCTCTACCATTGAGGTCCATCCTGAGTTGTCCCTTTCTTAGCGTATAGTGTTTGGAGGGGCCCTCCTTTCTTCCCATCTTGGCTCCATTGCCTTTGCCTTGCTAGCACCGTTCTCCAGTTCCTCTCTAGCACATGCTCACTTTTGTATGTTTAGCTAAGTTTCCATCACTATGGAAAACAGCGAACACCAACAGTCACTATTTCTCCCTGATTATGGAACGTAATTGTGGTGTGCTGAGAGCACTCAGTGAGAATCCTCAGCTTTGATGTGATGTAACTTTTTGGTGAATTTAATGACTTGCTGGACATGACATGTCATCAGGAGTCTCTGTATTCCTGTGAATAGTGGGGAGCCACTAAAAGACATTTCTTGGCTTTTTAATGTGTTCTTAGCTAATTTACCTAGCACTTGTATGCATACTGGTATTGTCAAGTGAAAGTGCCTTGAGTGAGAAGTGTGAGCACAAGTGAAAGGATGGCTGCTGGGAGAGCGGTCAGAAAAGGAACAGAATTGTTTGAAGTGAAAACTCCAAGTGGTAAAGTTGATGAGGAATGTAGCCACACTGTTTCAGGCCGGACTTTTAAGTTCCTCATCAGATAACAGCGTAAGCTGGTGTGAGTTCTTCTGGCATGCTTTATATTTCATTAAGTGTAGTCATGTGATTATTGGGAGTATAATGCAGAGTGACTGTTAGTATTTAAAATAATATTGTTAATGTTTCATGGAAATGTTTTCTTAAATATGTGACCCAGAACAACCTGCTGCTTTCATTTTCTAGTGAAATATGGAATTCTGCCTGTATTTCCCATTATTCTAGTAGGTATGGAGTCTTACTGTTTGTTCCATTCGTCAACCCCATTAAGCTTTTCAGATTGACCTGGTACATGTTTAATGAAAAGAAATAAAACAAAGCATGTTATGATTTGTATTCTGTTTATTCAGGTCCTAGCTGTCATTTTGAGCTTCATGCAAGTTCCCCTCCTGCTCTGAAGGTTCCTGTTACTGTTTTTGCGTTTGCTGATCTCATGGAATTACATAATTTTAGAGTTGGAAGGGACTTTAAAGGACACTTAATCCAGCCTCCCACTTGGGGGAATCCCCATCTACCACATCTCTGACAGATGGTCATTCAGCCATGGCCTAAATCCTTGCACAGAAGGAAAACACACTCCTCTGTGTAGGAATCCATGAACACTTGTGGGGCTGTGAACTTTTAAAGGACTTGTTATCTGTCCCACAGAATTAGCCCCATTGTCTCATGGGTGCTAGTCCCACAGCACTTTTTCCATGTCTCTGAAATCATGTTCTCTCATAATCTATGTTTCAGAGTCTGTTATTAGATTCTGACTTCCTGAGAGGTATCTTTTTGTCTTTTTAGTAATTACCACTGGACTGGCACATAGTAAATATAAAGATAATGTTTGTGGGATGAGTGAACGAGTGGATATTGTGAATGAATGAATATTGTCTTCAGAGATCATGATGAAAGGTTGTTTTTTAAAAATATTTTCTTTCTATTTAAAGTAGTGCTGAATTCATAGTAGCTAGCCCATGAATACTTTTTTTGTTTGACATTTAATAAGATAGCATAGAAGAGTTCCTTGCCTAGTTTTTAAGAGAAGCACATTAGCAGCAAGAATAGGGCACTCTAATCCTATTTCATTGAATAACATGTAAATCTTGTATTGTTCTCAGATTGCACTGGGGAAGTTGCTTCCTTTTGCTGCTATTTGAATGTTGTTTTCAACATTTAGAACAATGCTACAAAGTAGTGATTARTAAAGAAGTATCATTTAATGGTAGTATTGATTATAACAGTTTTACCTGGATTAACTCAGCAGATTAAAGTAAACAAATGATCATCTATCATCTGTTTGTTAATCTATCAATCAATCATCATCTACTGTGATATGATTGATCTGGTGATGAGTAGAATTGAAATTAGAATGCTATTTTTCAGTAAGGATTATGACATACATGGAGTTTACTGAAGAGTAAGTGGGCAGTAAGCACCATCTAAGAAGCATTTACTATTGTCAAATGAGTGCTTTATTTTTCCATGACTGACCTATGTAAAATTTACCTTTTGAAAGCATTTTTTAGATTATCCTAGTTGTAAAACAGGGTGTACAGGAAATTTTTTCCCTGATAATGGGTGGAATAATTTTTTTTACACTAAGAWAAGAAAAAAACATGATTTGCAAGATTTCAGGTTTTTTTTTTATATTCTTTCATTGAAGGTTAAGATGTACAAATTTGATGGACTTTTACAAGGTAAGGCAACTGGGATATTTCAGATTCTTACATGGGCACATTTTTTCCGTTTGATGTTTCTGCAGTTTTGTACAGGGAAAAAGAACCACCAGCTCCGAATTAACTTCGGCATAGGAAGGAGTGACAGGAATGTTGGGCACAAAGATGGCATATTTATGCCTAATAGAAGAGTGATTAATGATCCTCCYGACAGCCAGGGTTAGTTTTCAAAGCCCAATAGGGATTCCAGCCCTTAGCATATGCCATCTCTGTGAGAAATGGGCTTGGCTCCCTCTCTGGAAAGATGATCTGGGATCATTATTTCTGTTGTTACGGAAATTTATTCTAATAGTTTACTGGTATTAATCTTATCTTTTGGACCCATTTGTAAACCAGAAGGGGAAAAATAAAGCAAAACTATGGTGCTCAAGCTTCAAGATAGAAGAGTGATGGAGGCAAGTGAGTTTGAGGTATGAGGATCAATGACAATGATTATTAGGTCCATTCCTGTCATACAGACCCCCACATGATTTCATTGTGGTGTCTTGAAATATAACATTCCCTCATGAAAAGCTTTGTCTCTTGACCTTTTCCTTTTCTTATTAAGTTAGTAAAGGGATAATAGTGATAGGATTTGGAAGGAAAGGCAACCTGTCTTCACTGACATTGTCCTTGATTTCTAGCTACCAGACACAGCCTTTCAGCTGCTCCTTCTAGCAGATCACCTGCTCACTTTACTTGGTTTTATTTTTCAATTTTAGGCGTTGTCTGCTGACCTTCTACCCAGAGTGTGAAGATTTAGTGTCTTACCATCTTCCAGCCTCCAGCTTCTTACCCCTCACATAAACTTYCTCTTCCCTCATCTTCCCAGTATAATCTCATCAAAATCCTCAGTTAAGTTGATCTTCAGTCTGGGGACTGCTCAAGCAGTAGAGTTCTTCCCTAGCACATGCAAGACTCTGGGTTTGATTCCCAGCCCTGCAGAAACAGACCCCTGCCCCAGACAAACCAAACTGATCTTCATCATTTGTGTTACCTATGTAAATGTTCTCAGTTGACCCATTTTGGTATATATGATTAAACTACTTCTCATACAATCTTTGTTTTTTCATAGAGTAATAATAATTGTGTTTTTTTGTGGTTTATTTAGTTTATAATTAGCTGACTAATTCAGCCTTATGACAGCGATAAAACTCATTTTAGTGAATGGAATAAACTAGGTGGTAAGTTTCTCTCTTTTTCTTTTTTTGATGACTTGTGCAGTACCAGTTCTAATCTGAACTAGTTACTCTCTGGTTTGACTTCATAGCCATAATTTTGGAATTTTTCATTCCTCTCTCATCACAAGAACTCCCTTTGYCTCTTTCTTGCATTGGACCCTGTGTCTTCCTCCTTTTCATTTTCCTGCTGGTATCTTTCCGAGAAAGGGTTCAAAGAAGTATATTATTTGAGTAGACATGTCTAAAAATGTCTTTATTTTTAGCTCACACCTAATTGTTAGGCTAGCTGGACATTAGAGTCTACAGTGGAATTTATTGGGACATGAAAATTATATGAATTGTTTTTTAGCATCTGTTGTTGCTATTGAGAATTCAAATGGTATCTTGATTCCTGACTTTTGTAATGTGATTTTTTTTTTTTCCTCTCTGGATGCTGTTAATCTGCCCCCACCTTCACTACCATGGTGTTCTGAAATTTCATGGTGACTTGTTGCCAGCCAAGGGAGGCCTTTCCTGGGCTGATGGTGCAGTGAGAAATAGAATGAGGTAGAATTGCATTATGATGTAGGCAGGTAGATCCTGGAGTGCTCATGTGGCCCTTGTCCCTTGCCTGGTGTTTGGACACCAGCACGCCAGTGGTTCCTTCCTTTGCTCTTCTCACTTGCAGTTTTCTGATATTTTGTGGTCACTCTTAAACTTTGGATGGTCCTGTATGAGGAACTAGGGAGGCAATGAGGATCAACTTCCACTCCATTGTATMGTCAATTTTAGATACATTCTCTATACTGGTGAATAAAATAATTTTCATGATAAAATTTTATTATTTTCTTATTATCTTTTTTCACATGAGGTCAGGTGTGGAATTTTTTACTTGTGGCTCAGAGTGTTGGATTTTGGAACATTTGGATTTCAGAGCTTTTYGGATTTAAAATTTTTGGATGAAGATAATATAGTGTAATGTAATRTATATATTTTGTTTTGTTTTTGTTTTTAGGAACTGAAGATTGAACCCAGGGGCATGTTACCATTGAGTACATCTCCAGTCTTTTTTATAGTCTTAAATTTTGAGATACTCAACTAAGTTGTTGAGGATCTTGCTAAATTGCCTAGGCCGACCTTGAACTCTGGATCCTCCTGCCTCAGCCTCCTGAGTCATGGGGATTATAGACGTGTGCCAGCACACTTGGCTATTTTAATTATGTACTATGTAATAGAAGGACATAGTTTATTTTTACATAGTCCTTGTTGCCCATTTGTTCTTTGGGAGCTCAAAGGGTGCTAAACTTTCCAGAGGAATAGGTTCTAATTTCAGTTATGTTTATTACCATAATAGTCACGTCACAATAGGTAGAGGATGGATCACTATTCACTTTAATCTGCTCCATTTTTCCAGGAAAAGTTTTTACAATTAGTACTGGTACTAGACTCTAAGCATCATTAAAGGGATGGTTTATATTGGTGTTTGCAGGGTTCAGGGAAACCAGCTAAGCATAATGCAGTACCTCAGGGATGGTAATGGCTAGTGGTACTTTAGCAGCCCTGGATGTGAAGAGGAAAGGAGAGGGAGAAATTTCTAGAACCTGAAGAGATTAGGTATGGAGAGAGGTCTGCTTGACAAGAGCTGTGGCCTTTGGTAAAGAGCCAGAGCTGACAAATGGCAGTCTGGCAGGGAGGAGGAGAGAGAACAAGTGCTCAGCCCTCACCTTCTCACCTTGCAGTCTGCCAATGATGTGTGACCCAACTGGAAGCTAGAAGTCAAGGGCATCCTTTGATGTGGTCCATATGGTCAGTCTTCTGGGGCACAGAGTGTGGTAGGATATCTTAGTGGGGTGATTGGATACTCTCCAGAYGGTTAGGTTTAAAGATGTTTTGGAACCTAGAGATCTTTCTTTGGGAGAAAAGATATTCAACTGGAAGAACTAAGTGCAATCCTCATGGACAGATCCTGTCTGCCAGGGAATTTATTACTTATCTTTTACTCTAAATATTAGAAGTTAGTTTGCAAAAAACTTGCTTTATGCTTTTCGTAGAGTTTAACATCTACCAATCRTGCTGTTAGATTAACTAAATAATATTCATTGCTATACCTGCCCGTTTCCTCCCTTCTGTTCCTTGTAATTCCCTACAGCTTGCTAACAAATACTATATTTTTCCCCTCTCTATAACTGTTGGCTTTTATATGCTCTTATATTTCTTCTGGAAAAAATAGTTAAGTATGTATTAGACCATAGGAATATGTATGCCCCTGAACAAGTTTATGTCTGTTCTACACTGCTCTTTTTTCTGCTTGGTATGAATAGTAAAGTACTGCACAAGCTGCCTAGTTCAGAGTGACCATAAGGTCTCCCTTTCAAGGGTGCACTCTCAGTCTGTGCTTTCTTCGGCTGCCTCTTTTACCCAGGGATATTTTGGTTAGAATGTCTTGTTTTTAACCATGGATATTTTTGCTTTTAGATAAGTGACAGTTTGCTTTTTGACACATCAGATGATGAGGAGCTGAGAGAACAGCTGGACATGCATTCCATCATTGTCTCCTGTGTTAACGAGGAACCCCTCTTCACGGCAGACCAGGTATACAGGAGATGCTCATCTACGCAAGGACAGCAGAATCTAGAGCCGAAAGCCATTTCTTACTGTGCCAGTAAATGATAGTTATTAGAATTTACTTATTTGCCTTAGATTGTGTGGTTATATTGGTTAACAGCTAACTCTTCCACTGAGAAAAAGAAGAAAGTTTATAGAGGCTGAGGAAAATGAAATTTTGTTGATTGGGAAGATTTCTAATCTAAGTATTGTTACAAGCTACTTAAAGCCAAGGTAAAAGAATATTAATTTTCCTATTTCCTTTAGATTTGCCCAGACATGGGGAAATATCTGTGTAGAAATTATTTAGTTTTTGTAAAATCCTGGGTAAGACTCACTGGCACATATTAGTAGCACCTCTTACATACTCCAGGAAGAAGTGAGCATTATTGCTGTGGAATGTTCTATAATGTCAATCCTGTGTTCATTTGAAAGCAGTTGAATCAGCATTCTCATTTTCTGAATACTCTGCCCACCTCTCTTGTATTGTCCAAATGTGATGCCACAATCTCTTCCTGAAATAAAATGTTCCATGGCTTCTCAGACTGTTAATTCTACCACATTCTATTTTTAGATTGGAAAGAAGAGGTCCAGAGATACCTTATGGCAAGCTTGGGAGGTGCACTTTCAAGATGTACAATAAAAATATGTCATTTTAATATACTTAGTCATATTTGTGATTGAATTGTCCTAGAGTGGGAAAGAGCGTGGTGTTTAAAAAGCAAGATAATAATATTTTAGAGGGCTTTTTTGAGTTAGAACATGATCTCCCAGAGAAAGATGTGACCCTGAGGGTTTACTGTCTCCTACTATGCCTGAATACAATAAGTTATGCCTATTTTTAAGCCTTAGGGAAACGGAGCCTCTAGCCTTCTGGGATATCTCATTGCACTGTTTGCAATGCTTGTTTTGGGGCATTTTCTTACTAATCAACATAATCCTCCCCCCTTCAGATTTACTTTTGTTTTTCTTCAGTACAAGTGCTACCTGTTAAGCTCAGTGATTCATAAAGCATGTTAAATATGCTTGTGATATTTTATACCTTCATTTAATTGTATTTTCTTTAATAGCTTTCTCTTAATCCTTAAATCCTTTTTTCAAGTATTGAGTAACTTTTCTGGCTTTCCTTTAAAGTTTTTTTCCTTCTCCAGTTTTAGACTTTGGAACAGGATGAGATACAGTTATGTGATGTTGCATATGACAGTAAATCATTTGTTTAAAGGGCAGATATAAGTTTTCCTGTTACCTAAGGCTTTTTTCCTTTTTTTTTTTTTTTTTTTTAATGCTACCAGGATTGAACCCAGAGGCTCTTAAACACTGAGCCACATCCCCAGCCCTTTTTATATTTTATTTTGAGACAGGATCTCACTAATTTGCTTAGGGTCTCACTAAATTGCTGAGGTTGGCTTTGAACTCTCAATCCTCCTGCCTTAGCCTCCCAAGTCACTGGGATTACAGACAGGTGCCACTGTGTCCAGCTTATTTCCTCCTTATGCTTCTACATTTTAAGTAATTTAAAAATATCCCTTTATCTTTTATTGAATTGATATGTGAAATTCATTTTTTGCTGCTAAACTTTTGCTGCCAGAGAAGTAATTTCTTGCTTTATGTATGTTTTATATTATTTTCTAAATTTTATGTCCAACTTTTCATTAAATAGCTTTAGACTGAGCGCTTGCATGTGGTAGATGACAAATATTCTTTTATTTGCTTCCTTTTAACTACAACTTTTTGATCTGGTTCTGTTCTGCCTGGAGTAAATTATATAAGTGAAGTATCATTTCTCAGACATTGCAAGATCTGGTAGGGCCCACTGAATCATAACAGATGTATTAAATCATATTCTATTTAATTTTTTGTATAGTATATTGTAAATTTCCTTTGAGCCTTGTTCACTCTTACAGTCGAAATTCTGAATGTTTGGAACACCCACTACTGCACACCATTGGTTAATGAGAATTTAATGCTTTTCTACTCTGGTAGCCTTGGGTGAGCACCATGATACATACAGGTAGATCATTTTCTCCCTGGATATTTGACTAACAATGATGTGTGTATTTTGGAAGGTTATTGAAGAAATTGAAGAAATGATGCAGGAGTCACCAGACCCAGAAGATGATGAGACTCCCACACAGTCAGATCGGCTTTCAATGCTCTCCCAGGAAATTCAAACTCTTAAGAGATCTAGTACGAGCAGTTATGAAGAGAGTAAGAGATCCCCCTCACATCTGTGTTCTTTGTGCTTTTTGTCCTTATCAGATATCTCTAGGAAGCTTCGGTTCTAGAAGGCTGGGTTGCATACCTTCCTGGTCCTCTGATAATACAGTACTCTGGGCATATTTTTATCATTGCTCAGGGACTATGTTGTATTCCCCTTTTAAACCCTGTGTTAGTTTGCTGGGGCTTCTGTAACAAAGTACTACAGACTGGCTAGCTAAAATAGCCGAAATTTATTTTCCCACAGTTCTGAAAGAGTGAAGTTGTCAGCAGGGTTGGCCTTTTCTGCTTGTGGATGGCCTTCTTTTCCCTGTGTTGTCACATGGTCTTCCCTTTTTTCCTTTACAGGTGTCTGTGTCCACATCTTTTTCTTCTTCTTTTTTTGTTTTGGTTGTGGGATTTAGCCCAGGGATACTTTACCACTGAGCTACATCCCTAGCCATTTTTTTGTTTTTTGGAGATAGGGCCTCACTAAGTTACTTAGCACCTTGTTTAGTTGCTGAGGCTGCCCTTGAACTTGTGATCCTCTTGCCTCAGCTTCCCGAGTAGCTGGGATTGTAGATGTGCACCACTGCACCTGACTTCAAATTTCTCCTTATAAAGACACAAATTATATTGGATTAGGGGTTAGCCTAATACCTCATTTTAACTTTACCTTTATAAATACCCTGTCTCCAAATACTGTTACATTCTGAGGTAGAGGGGGTTTGATTATATGAAATTTTGGGGAGACATAGTTTAGTCCACAATTAACAAGATACTTCGTGTTTGTTGAAAATAATTCCTATCTTTACAAATAGTTGTCTTCAGGGTAGCTATGAAGAATTTTAGAAATCAAAATTATGTTTGAAGTGGATCTGGTATACATGATAATGAACTGTTAAAAACTGTGGAGTTGGTTATTGTGAAGTTTCCAAGTATGCATAACTCTCCTGTGAATATTCTGAGCTAAGCATACATTTATTCACTGCCTGGTGACTAGTCCCCTTCTTGAGTAAAAAGTAATTAGGTCCCTATCTGCTTAGCCCATATCATCACTTAGTCTTATGTTGACTAAGGTCTGAAACTTGGTTGCCTAAATCCCTTTGGGTGGTGTATGACTTCCTTTCAACATACTGAAGGTCTTACAACTAAATTCTTTCCACTGGTCTGATCTCACCGTATTGCTATAGATAGGGGCTTGACATTGTTGGAGTCCTGATTGCAAAATCCAATCCTGATACCTGATAATATATTAAAAAATATTGTGTTAGTTTACTAGGGCTGCCATAACAAAGTACCACAGTCTGGATGGTGTGAACAATAGAAATTTATATTCTCACAGTGTTGGTGTCAGCAGTCAGGGCCTTGGTAGGTTTGGTGTTGGTGAGGCCTTTCTGCTTAGCTTGCAGATGGCCGTGTTCTGCCTTTGTCTTTACATGATCTTCCTTCTATGTCCTCTGCTCTGATCTCATTRAAAAAAAWTTTTTTTTGTTGTTGCAGATGGTCAGAATGCCTTTATTTTATTTGTTTATTTTTATGTGGTGCTAAGGACTGATCCTAGTGCCTCATAAATGCTAGGCAAGCGCTCTGCCACTGAGCTATAGCCCCATTCCTCTATCTGGTTTTGTAAGGATAGCAGTCACACTGGATTAGAGCTCACCCTAAAGACCTCATTTTAACTTAATTTCTTCCTTAAAGACTTTTCTCTCAAAATCATATAGCCACATGAGGAACTAGGGGGTGGGCAGGACTTCATCAGTGTTCTCTTTCTCATGTGAGTGAAAGTGTTAAGAAAAAAACCGAAAAAGGGTATCAGGGATTRCTTTCTTTCATCTTCCAAGTCCTCAACAAAATTCACAATTTGGGGCACATATGATTAAATATGTATTTAGTTTAATTCTTTTAAATCGAGTTCTTTCTAGAAATGTCCCAGAATACTGCTCACTTGCTTGCATTTCTTGTCAGCAGGTGGTTTCTGTACTCTCCCTCTGCTTTTATGTGTGTACCTTGTGTAAGCTTTCTCAGTCTTGACTGAAGTACTGCTCATGGGGTACTTGATTTATACAAAAAAGTTAAAAGTTTTGTTCTTCGTTTCATCTCAGCCAGCTGAGAAGTGACTTTGCTCACCTACTTCTACTCAGACCTGCCCACCAGAAATTTTAAGGTTCTGAGAAAATCATAAACAGTTTAGTTGCTTAGAATATGATTTTTTACTCTTTGGCATGAAACACCTGCTGTTCTGCCTTGAAACACTTTTGTCTTAGTGTCTGCTGTACTTTGTTTTTGGTCATAGGAGTAAAAAGGCTCTCGGTATCTGAATTAAATGAACTACTGGAGGAAATTGAGTCTGCCATTAAGGAGTACTCCGAGGAGCTGGTGCAGCAGTTGGCCCTGCGAGATGAACTGGAGTTTGAAAAGGAAGTGAAAAACAGCTTTATTTCTGTTCTTATTGAAGTCCAGAACAAACAGAAAGAGCACAAAGAAACAGCCAAAAAGAAAAAGAAACTAAAAAACAGCAGCTCTCAGAATGGGAAGAACGAGAGAAGTCATATGCCAGGCACAGTAAGTGATGTTTTGCAGGAGGCACCGAACCCTAGAAACAGGTAGTCCCAGCATACTTGGCCAATGGCTGGGGTGCAGGTTGTACCTGTGTGAGAGTGTTGCACTTCTACCCAGAGTGCAACAGGAACTCTCTTCCAGAATGTCCTGTGCTCAGCTTCTTCAGAAAGGTGTTTCTTGGTAATGCTTTTAATGACTGGCCGCGTAATTTTGTACTGAAATGTTTAAGAGAGAAATAAGTGTAAGAAGGTGGGGGTAACATATTTCAAAATGTTAATAGTGGTTATTTGTATTTGGTTGGTTCTTATGACTGCTTTTCTTATTTTTGCTTAACTCTTTTAGGTTGTATAATAAGAAATTTAAATGGGGTCCATTTAGAGGTAGCAGGACTATGCTGAGCCTAAAAGCACAGATTAATTTGTAAATAGAGTCCTCCTCGTTATTTGGCAGGTTGGAATGCAAGGATGTCAGTGGCAATTGCATGATATTGCCATTTGCTCAGGTATTTGGCAGAACAGAATGTTATTGATAGGTGACAGTAGGTAGAATATTTGAAACTTTGACACTTTTTATATGTTTTTTTTTTCCTGTTTTGAAACTTTTTCTTAAGTGGTCCTATTAATTTCACTTGATTAAACTTCATCATGAACATTAACTGGCAATTATATAAGATCTATCTCTTTATTTATCTTAGATGTCTTTCATTTTCTGCAATCAGTTGAATCCTCGTATATTCCCACTTTGACTTTTGAGTGTGAAAAAATGTTGGTTTTTAATTTTAGAGTATAGTGTGGTTGGGCAAAGGCTTCTATTTTTCCTAAGAGTATGTATTTTTTAAATTGGTCATCTTGATAACAGTGATACATATCACAAATGGTTGTTWTGGCTTACAATAATATAGATTCTCTCTTTCATTAAGTCTTGAATTATTTTTCTCTAAAGAATACTTACCAGAGAAGTAGATCTTACTGATTAGATGCTGATAGAATCCTAGAAGAGTTCTAGATTGTGGACCATTAGTGAACAGCTGATACAGACAAGATGATGCATAACCATACAGCCCAATCATGGCACTTATTAACCTATGAATAAAATCACATTTTCTTAGTGTGATATCCATTTGTACATAATTAGAAAGGTCAGAACTTATGAATTAACTTAGAAAAAGATTATTTAATCATTTCTAGTGACTACTCTGAAAAAAAAAAAAMCCTTATATTTGTTTGAATGTACAGACCTGGAAAACTTGATTTAAAATATCAAGGACAGTATTTCATGTTTCCATCTCATATTTTAAAAAATTGCACCCTTTAAATTGCYCTATTATACTGGTGAGACTAAATAAATTGCTTAGTGAAAAAGTCATAGTATTGTTGGTAATTTCTACCTAACTGCTTTTAGGGATTACATGTAAATCCTTCATTTATTGGTGTTAATACTTGGCTGAGAAAAATGAATTTATCTCCAGAGGGGTTTAAAGGCTTCGTTTTGTAATTCCCATGTAAAATGGGCTAGAGTGGATCCTTTGTGTAGTCTTACATGGTGTTCCTGTTCAGAAATGGATTTGGCAAGGCAACAGTTAGATTGTATTTGAACCTTCATTAGTCTTAAAATAGATTCATAGAATAATGATTTTTTTCACAATATTTGAAATTGTGAAGTGGCTTCTTGAGTCCCTATCTACTATGTGTGTCAAAAACTTTAATTAGGACTGTAATGGCATGGCTTAGCTTCTGGTACTTGTTTCCTGTATCTTTTTTTAGCCCCAAATGCTAGAGAAAGACCATTCCATCTGTGACACAAACAGCTTGAAACCTGTGATTTGGAAAATAGTGATACGTGGCTCAAAAGAAGTCTAGAGTAAAATGACCAGTTGGATAAGCAGATTCCAGGAGGTATTACCTTCCTAAACATTTTATATAACATAGAGTTTTGATGGGGCCTGACTCTATGAGTAAGCTATCATTAATGATACTAATTTTTTAAAAAATGGTAACCTTCTTATAGATGTCACGTCTTATTTGTTTTTCCAATTACAGTCACTCTTTTTTTCCTACCAGAGCTGTTTTTGAGTTAGCAGCACTTTAATGTTTTCCTTAAGCATTGAATAGCTGCCTTCCATTTTTCTTCAAGYGTGTTTCATTGAAGTAGTACATCGATTTGCAGTTGGTATAACACTTTATTCATAATTGCTAGCTTGTGCTCTTTGGTCCAGATATACTCTAGCAAACTATCTTGGTGGGAAGAGAGCAGAGTTAAATTCTTTAGGTGTTAATTTTAGAGACATGTTTTGTTTGAAACATTTGCTGCCATGGGAAAAAAAATATGGGGGTTAGGGATGCTATTTAAAGCATTAGAAAATTTCTTCAGAACTGGTAAATACCTTAAATAGTAAAGAAAATACTGAGTACTTTATAAAAGAGAAATGTTATCTTGATTTGAACTTTGAGTTTTAAAATAATCATAATGTTATATACTGGGTAGGATAATAATAAAACAGTATAATTCATTCAGCAAATATTTGTGGAGGGTCTTCCTTGTGCCAAACAGTGTTCAAGATACAGTGGTGAGTAAAACAGACAAGATTCATGCCTTCCTGAAGCTTAGATTCCATGTGGGAGACAGGCAGTAAACATGGAAAAGAATGAAAGGTAATGTAGTAATAAATGCTATGAAGAAACCAGAGGGCTGGGCAAGGTGTTTGTTGGTGATGCTAAGAAGCTGTTTTAGATGAGGTGGCCACTATCCTACTGCTCCTCCTGATTGGCAGGAGGTAGCACAAGAGTGACCCATTCTCTACACTTTCCACCAAACATGGGCGTTATTTACCTTTATTTAATATATATTGATCAGATAACAAAGCAATGGTTTGATCTGTTGATTATTGGTATTCTTTGGTGAGTTACCTATTATATAATATTTGAGATGGTTTTCATATTTATGAGGGTACATATGCTTCTGATGTGTACCATACTGTTGTAGTCTGTAGTTCAAATGTCTCCTCTGACACAGGGCAGGCTCCTTACAGGCTCATTTGTTGGCACTGTTTCACTAGCACTCTACCTCATTTCCAATATTGGAGATTAAATTCGTAAAGATTTGGATTTGTGGTATTTAATTATGACTCTTTAGGATTTTTAAATTTTTTTTTGGCCATGCTCTGTTTATATGTAACATCTTCACAGGTCATTGAATTTTAGTATCAGTCCTCTTGAGTATAAGAGCAAATTGAAGTATATAGCAGGTTACGTTTTAATTTAGTAGTTGGCATTCATCGAGAATTATCTGAAGTTGTAAAGACATTGTTTATCTGCTTGACATCATACTTAGTAAACTTACAGAGGTAAAAATGGACAGATTGGGGCTAGGGTTATGGGTCAGCGGTAGAGCGCTCGCCTCGCACGTGCAAGACCCTGGTTTCCATCTTCAGCACCACATAAAAATAAATAAATAAATAAACAAACAAATAAATAAATAAAATGAAGTTATAAAAAAAATGGACAGACTTACTCTTTGAAAATCTAGTAACGTCTCTGAATTATAGGACAAATGAGATTGCTTATTCCAAGTCTGTGGTTGAGAAGATAAGAATCAATAGTATTTTCTGTTTGCTGTAATAATCACATTGAACTTTCAACAGAGTCCTAGTATCTTACACTTACCACCATCAGAAATGTCTAATCTCTGGGATGGGGTTGTGGCTCAGTGGTAGAGTGCTTGTCTCGCATGTGTGAGACCCTGAGTTTGATCCTCAGCACCATGTAAATATAAATAAAATAAAGGTATCGTGTTCATCTACAACTAAAAAAAATATTTAAAAAAAAAGAAAAAAAGAAATGTCTAATCTGGAACTACATCCTGAAAACTTGTGGGATATTACAGAACAGTGACTAGTGGGTACTGGTGAATACAAGAAACTGTTGTAAAAAGAGTCCTATTTCTCTAATTTATTGCTTTTGGGGGGTTGGGAAGATAATTGTTTAAAGATGGGGGAGAGGTAAGCTTAGATAATAGTTACTCTTTTTTGTATACGTTTTCTTTCATAGATGCCTTGCCATGCCTTTGTGACTCATTTAGCTCCTATATGACTAATGCCAATTTGTTTCCTTTTTACATGCAAAAGTGCCCTCAGTAATAGTTTTCATTTACTCTTGACCAAAGCTGACTTTAAGGTAAGAAATTTTACTTTTATTTAGACGCCATTCTTAGATCATCCTGAAGTTATTCTAATTATCCTAGATCTAAGTTAAGAAAGAATCATTCTGACACACATCTACTTGAATTTGGGACTTCTGTTTTAAAAAATGGAGCTGGGCACTGTGGCTCACACCTGTGGTCCCAGTGACTTGGAAGGCTGAGGCAGGAGGATTGCAAGTTCTAGGCCAGCCTCAGCAATTTAGTGAGATCCTGTCTCAAAATAAAAAAATAAAAAGGACTGGGGATGTAGCCAAGTGAAAAGCACCCCTGTATTTAATTCCCAGTACCAAAAAAACAAAAACAAAAACAAACAAACAGGGAGCTTTTCCTCCTTATTTTTAATTTGGAAATCTTTAATGGCACATATGCTAAAATGTTCCATTTGAGGATTGGCAAGGCAAATTACTGTTCAAGGGCCAAATCCAACCTTCCATCTTTTTTTTTATAAATAAAGTTTTATTGTAATGCAGTCACATCTGTTCATCTGCATGTCATCTGTGACTGCTTTGATGCTACAAGAACAGAGTTGAATAGTGTGTCCTGCAAAGCCTAAACTAATTACTGTCTGGCCCTTTATGGAAAAAAATTTTTCAACCCCCGATTTAGATATAATATAAAATTAAAAATTAGAGGAAAAAATGTAAATTCCATTTATATGAATTTGTATATATTAAAAGATATATTGTGTCCAAATTTCTTGTAAGGTATTGCCTTGTTTTATCCTAAGGGTTTGTTCAGTTCTTTTCTGAAGATCCCAGTGGCAGCAGCAGCCTGAGTTTACTCACAGATGGCCACATCTTGGCCAG